AAAGTCCCAGCCTCGCAGTTCCCATTTTCCTCTCTATCTTTCTCCCAGAGCCGTCAAGTTCTCGGCCAAGCTAATGGGGCAGGCAATGGCCAAGAGGGTCAAGGCAACCATCCTTTATGCTACAGAGACAGGCAAATCGCAGGCCTACGCCAAAACCTTGTGTGAGATCTTCAAACACGCCTTTGATGCCAAGGTGGGTAGGGGGCAGTGCCAGCTCTCCAGCCCCTCGTGGTAAATAAAGTTGGGAGGGGAGAGAGGGAAGTGAACAGAGAAGAACTCTTTGAGAATGGATGAAAGCACATCCCAAGTTTCCCTTCAGCACACGCACACACACCCATTTGCATAAATTTCAGGGCATGGTGAGGCCACTCTCTCCCTGTGAACCCTCCAGGAGCCCAGGAATCACAAAAAGAAACCCCCATCTCTAGAGCAAAATGTTAGAGGGTCTTATGAAAATCAATTCTGGAGTCAGTTTGAGAAGCTCTACATTAAATACAGTTCCGTGGGTTTCTTTGCTGCAGGACTTCTCAGAGCCTTTAATCTGCAAGCATGTGTTATAATCTCCAAAAGAGGAGGGGAGAGACCATAAATGTTTCCCAAGCATGTTTGTGTATGGCTCACTTATTTTCAAGGTACATCCGTAGACCCTCCAATGGGCTTCCGTAGAACCTCCTTTGAGAAATATTGCTCAAGTGATGCTAAGATATAGGGCAGCAATCTTTCCCTAAAACAAGGTGTCTCAGACTTGTTTGGTCCACGTCCTCCTCACTGCTGGAGGGCGGATTAGAAAGGGGGCTGGGAAGTTGGTCGGATCCAGCCAGCCAGGTCCTTCCCAGCCTAGATGTGGTCAAGAAGCTTTCAGGATCAGTTGGTTATAAGAAGCCCAAGGGTCACACACAGAATCTGTCTTTACTGGCAGCCGACCCCTTACACCATTCCCCCAGATTCTCTACCGTCCTTCAGGCCTCAGTGACCACAAAAAGGTCCCATGCTACCAAAAAGCGTTCAGCTCAAACCCTCTTCAACCCATTGAAATAGTGACACCCAGGACTCTTGGTTCTCCTTCCAAAGGAGATGGCTCAAGATTGACTCATCTTTTTCTTCTCCCTCTCTTTCTTCTCCTTTTCCCATCATGTCTTGGTTCTCTCCCACCTCCTCTCTCTCCTCATCTCCTT